TATATATATATATATATATATATATATATATATGTATATATATATATAGTTTATTTATTTGTGATCAGTGACAGTAAAACAGGATTTAATACAAAAATTTTGAATTGGTTTGTTTTAATTTTCTTGTCTGTGAACCTTTCTAGAATACCAGTATGCTTTTATACTTGGAATATAAGATGTAGTCCTCATTGATTATTTTTTGTTTTCAAATTTAATTACTCTCTTGAAAGTTTGGTCAACAATATAATTATTAAACATATACAAGTCTAATTACTTCTTTTTTCCAAGTATTATTTTGGAGTAAGTTTGTGTAACATATTTCTTAAATACATTGGCATAACATAAACAGTGAAAATATAATAAAATAATTTTCAATAGAAATAAGTTCTGAGTCAGGTCCAAGTACTTGGGAAATCCTAAATGCTTATTTATATGAACATAGACAGAGACTTTGGGAACATAAATTTACATTACCATGAAGGGCACTTCAATCAGTTCTACATTGCTAAGCAAATTATAGCTTGCAGCCCCAGTGGTAATCCTCAGCAATATACTTGCAGTTAAGGCTGATGGTAAGGTAACACTTAGAATGTTGGTGACACAGAAGATTCAGAACTTTACAGAAGCCCATGCTTGCTACTTTGTATAGAGGGCATTCTTACTTTCATTATGAATCACCAGATGTGGCAAATGATTGATACACATGCAAGAAGATTACCCATCACATCATATAGTAATTTTAGTGACCGTGGAAAACATCTACTTTTAGAAATTGCAAATTAAAAATATGTTGAGGAATACAGGTATGTTTTTTTTCTTTTTAATAGAGGATTTTTTGCAACTCTTGTGTTATTTAGGAATAAAATGGCAAGTCTCAAAATTTATTTAGAACAATGAGTTACCTTCTCTGCAAGGCCTTTGACGAGTAATTTTATGGCTTATTTTTTCCCAGCATAACGTGCTTTTCCCAAAAGGTAATGGGATGTTTCTTCAAACAGGCAGTTTGCACTGTTTAAAATGTATCTCCAAATTCTCTACTATTGTGAAATAATTTCACATAAGAAGCCAACAAAGCATATCTCAAAGGGGATGAAATCTTCAATGATATCTCTAGTTCAGTACCCTGGAGTCTCTACCACTCTCATTCTAGAGTTCATGAGTTTCCACTAGCTTGGTTTGGCTGTCTCTATATTTTTCCCCTTCATGAACTTGGTCTCTATTGCTCACATATTCTATCCTCTTTCTCTTCAACTGGATTCCCAGAGCTCAGCCTGGTTCTTGGTTGTGGATTTCTGCATTTGGTTCCATTGATGAAGGCTCTATGATGATCGTTGGGTATTCATCAATCTATCTCCAGAGGAAGCCTAATTCAGGCACCCTCTCCACCATTGCTAGGAGTTTTAACCATGTGAAAGTCTTTAAAAAAAACACGGTTGTCATATTCATGATTTTGTAGATGTCTCCCAGTTATGTTCAGGACACAGATATTTGAGTGTGAAAGGTAGGGACTGGGTCCACCAGGCCCATGAGGTAGAAGTTAAATAGAGAGGGACTAGTAACATTAGGCAGGTTGCTATTGCTTGTTCTGACTGACACCAGCTAGGTTTTGGACTCAGGAGGCAAAAGGAAGAGGTTGAGTATGAATCCAGTCTGGATTACAAATGAGACTGTGTCTCAAGGCAATCAAACCATGAAAATGAAGGAAACATTAAAACAAACTTTATTCCTACATGTTATTTTTTTGTTTTTTTTTTGAGACAGGTTTCTCTGAGGAGCTTTGGAGCCTATCCTGGCATTTGCTCTGGAGACTAAGCTGGCCTTGAACTCACAAAGATCTGCCTGCCTCTGCCTCCCAAGTGCTGGGATTTAAGGTGTGTGCCACCAATACCCAGCCCTACATGTTCTTTTTAAGCCTCTGTGAAAACCACTGAATTTAATCTTAAAATTGCCGGTAGTACCAAACTCAATTTCTCATGAATAGTTTCAGAGAGGGTGCTAATTTTTACCCTAACCTAAAGGAAGACTGGTAGCTGTTTGAACTCTTTTTTATCTTGATTTATTTATTTTGTGAGACAGGTTTTCCTTGGGTAGCCCTGGCTGGCCTACCAAGCTCACAGAGATCTACCTGCCTCTATGAGGAAGGGTTTCTATTGCCCATGGCAGCACTTGTAAAGGAAAATGTTTCACTGAGGTGGTGGCTTACAGTTTCAGATGTTTAGTCACTTATGACCATAGCAGGGAAAACCCCAGCCTGCAGTTACACATGCTACTGGAGAAGCAGCTGAAAGTCCCATATCTTTCAGGCAGCCGGGCATCAGCTGTGGCACTTGGAGTAGCTTGACTAGAGGAGAACTCTAAGCCCACCTCCGCAGTGACACAATTCCTCTAATAAGGTCACACCTACTACAGGCCATATTTCCTCATGGTACCAATCCCTATGAGCTTATGGGGACAAATTACTTTCAAACTACCAAGCTTATGAATATGTCTGAGAAAGTTCACAATAACCTTTGCTTATAACTGTCTAATATTACACAATTGCAAAAGCAGATGCTTGTTGAA